ACTTCTGTGCAGTGATATCGCTAAATAGCGCTAAACCTCTATAGACCTTCTAAATACATCAAAATGTTCCTCTACAACTAGTCTATCTTTGAGGAAATCGCAAAATCTCGCATATGTTCCAAAAACGTTTTATGGATTTTCCAAAACCCACAGGGGTTTTGAGATATTTCGAATTTTTCTCCCTTATAAACACACATTTCGTCAAATATAATACCATATTCGGAATCAGCGTGAGAAACTGCATCTAATGGTGTATAACTCATCTAGTTTCAGTAGCTCGATTTTGAATTCTAGAGATTTCTTAGTTTTTGAGATTCACACGAACAATTTCGTGCTGAAAATTTGAATTTCAAGATAAAGTAACCTGAACGATTGGAAACATGTTTCGTATAGGTTTTTGACAATGCTCTTTCCAGTGGCATCGTTTTTAACTGTTGAGAAAGTTTTCTGAAGGGTTTCTCAGAGAGCGAATCTCTGGAAAACTCCTTAGAAAACGTTTTCAAAACCCAGCTCTCATGCCATTAGAAAGAGGATCATGAAAAACCTATAAAAAAATGGTTCATGAAATTTTAGTTCACTCATAAAGCTAAAGTCCGCCTGCTCTAGCAAAAAATGCCCATTGTGAAGCATACGTTCAACTGTTGAATTTTAGTGAGTTGTTTAGTTTTGCAATATTTAATTCTTCGTTTCAGCAAATCATTTGAATTAATATAACAGATTTAAAATCCACAAATAACTTAGTTCAACTAAACAATCACTTCATTAAGTTAAGATGAAATGGTTTCTTCAAATAAAATGAGAGAAATCTACGAACCATATTAGAAAATACCTATAAATTCTCGACAAAGTCAATATAATTAAAATGTTCTCTACGTCCTCTCGAAAAGTAAATTGCTCACCGTACTGTAAGTGTAATTTGCTAGTCATACATATACTTTGATAGTTTCTGGTGAAATTTTGACAATGATGTTAATAAATATTATTTAATTTATTTCATCTGTGATATAAAAATGAGTTTTAACAGCGATAATTGAGTGAAAGTGAAAGGAACACTAAAATGGTCAGTTTTAAAATTGTTTAGAACTATAAAATATGTGCATCTATATACAAATTGGGCTATCAGTTATTCTATCAAAAGAAAAAATAAGAAAAAATTAAACGTGTGAGATATGATCCGTATCACTGGTGTTCGCATCTATCGTTTCTTTTAATGTTGCCGTTGGTGATGGTTCCTGTGGTACACTTAGAATTGTTGATGTTCTGTTTCGTTGTTCTAAACTTCTTCTGGGTGTTGAATTTGAACTTTGTTGTTGTTGTTGTGATAATGGCCAATAATTGACAATTTTTTTTTCATCAAAATCAATTCCTGTTATTGATATTCGTAAATTTCGTCTCATTACATCACGTATATTCAAATTTAAACGCTTTGAATCTAATTTGGCTTTAATTAAAAATTCAAGAAATGCTATAACCATTGCTAAACCAAGACCAATAATTAGAATATAAAATATTCCAGCAACATTCACCAAATTCAATTCGAGACTCTGCTCTTTCGCACCAACATTTGTACATTCTGAACGATCATAATACCATTTTTGTTTTAAACGTTCCAGATAACCAGCTTCTGTTAAGTCTAATACAGCAATATTGATTGCTTCGCGCAAATCGGAACCTGTTTAAAAAGGAGTCAATCAGTCATAAAACTCATGGAAAGATTAATATCTTACCGAGTGGCGTTGCAATACCGTAACCTTTCGAATCAATATTATCACCTATTCGCATTGTATCACATGGGTAACGTTCATTGATGTATTCATTTACTGTTGATTCTAGTAGAAATGCAAATTTGCCTAAATCAAAATGAAAGGATCTTAAAATAGTAAATTTAAAATATTTTTATCTGTAATACTTTTACCTTTCGATTTTTGCACTTTTTCAATTCCTTCACGATTTGACGATACAAAAACATCATCTTTATTTTGTTGCATAAAATTCCACATTTTCTTAAACGTTGTCAACGTGGATTCTAGAGTTCAAATGAAAAATGGTATAGTTTTGATTATTCAATCAGTCAAAATCTTACTATTAAAAAATGCCATTGTTGAACCGCCTTTTACCACGCCATAACGAATTTCTTTATGGTTTGCTAAATCTTCAACATTTTCTATTGGTGTCACGAGTTTTTCAACGGTAAGAAATGCCGCTAAATTAGCGGTATAAGATGACACTAAAATTAGACTAAAATACCACCATGCCGATGTAACAACACGACCTAAACAACAAATGTCAACAAAATACTAGTATATTTTAAGATAAAAAATCATCGAATTTACCGGATATAGATCTTGGTAATAAGTCGACACCTTGATGCATAAATGCCGCAAAAGAAAAAAATAATGAATTATGAATAGTAAATTTATTTTGAGGTACAATGTCATTTTCATTTTCAAAATACCATTCATAAGCTAAAGAGACTAAATCTGGTTAACAAACAGTTTTGAAAGTCGATTATTGATTAACTTACATGAAAAACGACTAACAAAAAATAAGATACCGCTAACAAAAACATAAGATAGAATAACGCATATCCATATTTCTTTTGATAATGGTGCCATAAATGAGAACACACCCTGATGATGAACAAAAAGGCATAAGCAATATGACTTTTATACTGTAAAACTTACAGGTTTTTGTTTTTCCGGTTTTCCTATCATAATCGATATGCCTAGATCGATAAATGGTTTGGAGAAATCAACGGCCTTTTCTCGTGCGCCATTTATTGTTAGCGGAGCTATAAGAATGAAGAATATTAAAAATCACTTGATGTTTAAATACCAGTCTATAGTTTCTTACCAATCGCCAGATCAGCATATCTATTCACTAGTGCACCAACCATCCCATCCCATTTTCCTTTTGTGACTTCGTTACCATATTGTGTTTCAATTCCTAAACATGAACATTTTACTGAATTTTAAAGAATCTTAGAAAGACCAGGACTAGAGCAGTGAACGAACTGACATGTAGTTATGTTATGAATGATACTGTTGCATACGATTGAACTTTATAACAGATGGAATTTAGTCTCTTAACAAAGGAAACTTCGTGTCCGAAATTTATCAGGAGTTCTACTTTACATCATAAATCTACAATGATAAGTTCTTTCATATAACTGAGAAGTCATTTTTTTATTCTTATTTTTATATTAGCCATAGATAAGTCTGTATTTATAATTTTGACTATATCTATTTGATATTAACAGAACGTTGTCATTATTATATATTTATTTATTAAATGTTTTCTTATTGTAACCTTGGATAAAGATGTCAAGTAGATATTGAAATGTTGATTTCGAGAAGAAAATATTTAATAAATAAATATATAATAATGATTACGTTCTGTTAGTATCAAATAGATATAGTCAAAATTTTTTTGTTCGACATATACGTACTGAATTTATATGGAATTTTTAATTTATCGTGACAAATAACATAAGCTAAATCCACACAATAACCTTCAACCATCGATGCATCCAAAATTGTACCAACCGGAATACTTTTCTCGGTCAATGTATCATTACGATTCTTTTTCAACATTAAAAATGGTTCATCAAAAATGGTGGTTACTAATCGCGTTCGATTATCAAATGCCATACGAACACGATATGTTGTATCATCAGTCACCTGTGTCAATAATTATATATATATATATCAGTCAGATTTAATGACATAGACACCAAATAGCACAAATCTAAAACTCTTACTTCTAACGTTGACGGTGCTTTAAATAGTCCAATTTTCTTTGGTAAATCATTTCTTGTCACTCTATAAACATCTAGAGTATAATTTTCTCTTTCTCCATTTTGATTAAATTGGACGTTGCCTGATAAACCTTGAAATGTCGTATTTAATAAACGTTCAAGATAAATTTCACCGGCTAACCATGGTTGTAATTGATTACAATCAATTCCTGGTGTTAAACCATTGTAAAATCGTCCTTGTCGAAATACTCTTAGACTATCACGTGTTTCATTTAAATTTAACATTGTATTGATTGCACGTAAAAATGTTTCCCATGAATCAGCCATTAGCAATGCTTCTAATGGTAAATAGGTTTGTGCATTATCAATAATATTTGCTTGTTTTAAATTTTTCAAATATAAATCAGCCGTTTGATTTAACGTACAATTATCTATTGCACAATGTTGTAGATCATTTTTATTATCCATATTGAATGAATCGGGTAATGCAAAAAATGTTACATTGACACCACCATATCTAAAATATGTCATATCTAATAGTTTAGCTTTTAATGTTAATAGAATATAATGGTAATCATTTGTTGTCATTCCACGATGTTTTATTTTATCCATCATTGTACGATAGGTTGAAAAATCATTAAAATCTAATACAACATATCTTCCTAATGCTATTCGTGATTGCGTATTACTTAATTCTATACTGTGTAGTAAATCATAGGAATCATTTGCATTCGGTAAGTAACGACTATTAATATGCAATTGATTTAAAACAGACGATTGTTTTTGTGTCTGAATATACATCAATTCTTTAAGACGTTGACAACTTTCGATACCATCAAAAATATAATAAATTTCTTTTAAATTATACCGACGAATAAATGCAATTAATGCTGGTATTAAATCGGGCATTAATGATACAAAATAATGTTTAGATGTAATGTTATGTTCTACTAGCGAAGAATAATGCAATGACGGTAAGTATCGTCCAAGAATAATAAACGGTACATGATACGTATCAGAAAATCCTGATAACCAATTGAATTCATCGTAATTAGAATAGCATATTACGGCCATTGTACCATTAAATAACTTATTACATAATGATGTCCACATGCCAACAGTATCATTGTATTCATCACTATTCAGTTCTGTTATGTTGTATTGATAACGACGTTCAAGCTTATTTAAAACGAATTGTCGAGCAATCGGATTAATACGTTTGAATTCATTACCAAATTTATTTCCAAGCATTATTCCTTAAATATTGAATTAAGCAAAGTTTTTGAATGTGAAAGTGACAGATCTCTATTGCATACATACCAACTGGTATGGTTAATATTGAATAGACGGTTGTAAAACATTGATTATAGAAGATTAAACCAATAATTAGCAGATGATTCATGTGAACATCAAATCACTAAGCATCATTGTTTATATTCAAAATTTAATGTTTCCATTTCGCTCGATTGATGCGCTGCTCGATAAATAGTAGTCATCATCATCAGGGATTTATTATTTTGTTCAATCTCTCTGTCTTTTCCTGCACTAATGTTGTTCGTGAACTGAACTTTTTTTTCTTCTCCTTTTGCCAAATAATCTGACTCTTCTTCTTTCCATCAATAAAAAAGTCTTTTTTCGCTTTCACTTTATCCACTTTCAGAGATTATCTATCTCTATCTCTCTATATATATATATTTGGATAAACTTACAATCTCATTCTTCTTAGATGCGTGCATGCATACGACTGTGGCTCTCGTTTATTCACTTGAGATTATCTCATTTCTCTATTGTAAATTAAACAGAAAAACGGAACAACGACAAAGAATATAGATTAATTTGCCGATACAATTTCAGCGTTTTGATGTCTTTATTTCAATGACAACGAGATTTTTTCAGAGAGAGAGAGGCACACACGTAAGGCAAAGTCTTTATAAACCCTTCTTGTGGCTCGCATGAGCACACTACTGTCCTCTGTAGCTGTTTCTTAGGATCTCTATGACAGGGTGCGCTCAATGAATAGATGGCATGAATTGTTAATGGTGTAAGCTGTGCTTTTTTTTGCTTTTCTTTCTTTTCGTTTAATAAAAAATCAATAGTAGTTTTACTCTTCATGTCAGCATTGGTATTATTTCTTTTTTCTTCGAGCGAGAAAATATTCATAGGCAATAATTAGTCAATTTGAAGAACGGAACACGATTAATTTATTCTTTTAGACTTTTTAGATAACGGAATTGGGAAAAACGTTTTCCTCATTTACAAGAAGAAACCTTAAAAAAAGAACGACCAGTATATGAATTTGTCGTAACGTCTCAGCTGAGATACAAATTATATTCTCAACTAAGATACAATCTATACTTTAATCAAGTATCTCAGTTGAGAAACCATTATTTCTGCGAAAATATTCGTTTCTTAACTGAGATACATTTGATAAAATACGGACTTCACGAATTTTTCCACTGAGATACACTTTTGAAACGTGCAATTGTGCAAGAGTGCACTCTTGCACAATTGCTCGTGCGCAAATATGAATCAAACTGGTGTGTTTTTTTCTAGGTGTGTAAAAGTCTTTCTATATTCGCAGGTGTATAAATTTGCTAGTGTGTTTCTGGCATATCACACCGTGCATTTCTAATGTGCAAATACGAATCAAAGTAATGTGTAAGTTCAGTGTGTTTTGGGCACCCTTTATTTTCTACAGTGTACAAAGGTCTATTATTCAATAGTTCTACAAAATCAACAAGAATTACAGCGACTTGCACGCCATTTTGCATACTTAGACGTTTTTCACAAAACTCGAGATTCAGACATAAGCACGCATGACGACGTGGAGAGCAATGAATAAGAACTGATTTTGTTGTTACGTCTTTTGCATGCATGCGATTACTTGATAATAATTTAATAGATGGTAATATTTGACCATGTAATGTGGGCAAGTCCGTAGATAGTCAGGAGAGATACATCATATATCTAATTTGATTTCATTCACTATTGAATAATAGACCTTTGTACACTGCACTCTTGTACAATTCCACGTGTCAAAATTGTATCTCAGTTGAAAAATTCGCGAAGCCCATATTTTATCAAATGTATCTCAGTTGAGAAACGGTGACACGACAGTTGAGCCTACGACATTTGAGCCCCGACAAATGAGCCTCGACAGATGAGCATACCGACACTTGAGCTCTTGACATTTCAGCCCCGATATTTAAGCCTCCCGATACGTGAGCCTTCGACATTTGAGCCTGTCGCAGATAGGCATTATATGACTGAGTTCGATACTATTAACGAACAGGCTAATTGATTGATTGATTAAAATGTTATATTCACGCTAATTGATTGATTGATTAAAATTTTGTTTAATAATTTATTTTTTAATAATGAGTTGATTAAATTTGAATTTGGCTTCCGAACGAGTTCTAAATATATATGTATACGCAGAGTAA